TGAAAAGAGATTTCAGTCGACCAAAACGAGAGAGAAAAAAATGTATGTACAGAAAAATGAATAAATGTTGTCATATGTAGTATATCAGATTGACCGAATACAAAAAAATCTTATATTTTTCTGTGTGTGTGTGTATGTACCTTTTTTTAAACATTTTCAATCAACATATACAGAAGAAATAAAGAATAAAATATATTACAATTCGATTTTTCAGGTGTTATTATTTTATTTTTTGTTCTTCTACTACAAGCTGAGATAGAAATAATTTGACTAAAAACTCTAGTCTCTTCTAAGATGTTAATAAATATCTATTACAGTTTGAGATTTATTCTTAAAAAAGTTGAATTATTTGTTTTTAAAACTATTAAATCTAGTACTATCTGTGCATTTCGTTAAGTACCTAGTTATATTGTTTTGTGTACTGTTTTCAGCAGAGACGTTGATATTGGTTCCAGTTACTTTCATCGAGGTAGTGGTTTAATGAGAAATTTTTCTCATTCTCTTCTATATAGTATAAAATCAATGATATCTCTAATTGTATTTGACATGACAGTTCAAAACAATAGTAAAATGTATGAGCGATTACATTTTCTCTATATACCGATCTTTCGGGCTCCTTCTCTATTTTTTTCTTTTTGTATATGATGTATATAATATAACAATGAAAATATTTTTATTAATTTTATAATTAATATACACTATAGACATACGCACATATAAATAACTTTTGTTCTGTCTTTGTTTATGTAAATAACAAACCTGAAGTGATATTCTTTCTTTAATCAATCAAAATATTTACTAATGAAATTAATAATTACATAAACATTAGATAAGTCGAGGTTAAATTAACTGTGAATATTGTTCATTAACGTGTACTCAAAGAAAGATTTTCTTTTATGAAAACGTAGAGCAAAGATGCGCATAGTGACGTTGAAGAGAAGTTAATGTGTAGTCTAACGTAAAAATGCATAATATGCGAGACTCAGTTTGTTCAGTTATTTCAACCTTGTGTATGTGTGTCTTTGAATGTATGTACAACATACTTTGAGTAGTAATAGTGTTTTTTTTTCGCAGTAGTAATTTTTTTTCATCCAGATGAGTAGTCTAGTGATTTAATAACTTAAATAAATATCTTTTCTATAACAAATACTTTTGCATTTTCAAAATCACGTGATAATTGTTCACATATTTGGTAAATATATTGACCTTTTGGTTTTCTCCTCTTCAATTGCTTTATAATAGTAAAAAAAAATAAATTCATCCTGTTTTCTTTCTTGCAACTTAGAGATGTCATAGTTAGGACTCCTTATCCACGAAAAATTTTCGCCCAAGAGCGGGTGATCATCTGTTTTTTTTCACTTTATGCATATACTTTTTGACATTTTTAATTTAAACTTAAATGCCATATCATCAGATTTTTTCAATCGTAGAAATCATCCCTTGCCACACTAAAAATTTCATTAATCTTATTGAAACATAGTTTTAACTAAAACATAAATTTTGATAGAATGCCCGTTTCGATAGTCAATAAGGATTTTTTTTCATCTGTTGATTATATTCACTCTCATAATCAGTTCTAAGATATTATTATACTATCAATTAGATCTTGAACTGAGCAAAATTATCAATTTTGTCTTGTACCGAGCAGCTTTGTAGTGTTTTCTTCATATGTTGAAAAGTTTGTAACGCAAATTAGTTTGCGTTTTTTCCCGCTAAAAGTTTTTTTTTAGCAAACAAAAATTCTACAAAAAGTAACCGACAAAAATTATCAGTACTAAGTAAAATTGATGCTTTTAAATCGATTTATTGTGTGTACTCAAAGTAGACATCTTGTTTGTTTGAAAATATAATATTTTTCTCTATGAATCATAAAAATCTTTTTTTACCTTGAAAATATTTTATAATCTCGTATAAAAACGAATGATCAAGAAGATCAGTCTTTTTGAGCACATTTGTTTACCGTCATCGTTGTCTTTTTTCTCTCGTTTTCGTCTTACTAATAAGGTCATTCAAACGCTTCATTTCAAAGATAATCTTTAATAGTATTTTCTATGATTATAGATACTAGTCTAAACTTGCATCGTTTATATTTTGGAAGGGTGTTGTTGTTGTTTCTTTATTATTCATACGTCGATAGAAAGTATTGTACAGAATAGATGTTTAAAAGATTTTGATGAAAAAGGCTTTACGGTGAGCAGCCAAAGTTGCCTCATGATACTGTCTCGGAAAGAGTTTTTAAAAACTCAAATATGTCTGTAGATAGAAATGAAGAAAATATTTAGTTATAATTATACTATCTGATGAGATGATGTACTGAAAATGTCGATAAGTGAGAATGAATTTTTTGTTGGGTTGATGTTAACATTACAATCGATTGATCTAGTTCGTCTATCTTTGTAGCCAAAGAGAAGTTCAGCCAAAAGTTAACTAAATAGGGTGTGGGCAATATTCTTTGAAAGTTTCATAGAAAGCTAAAGACTTTAATGAATACCGTTGTTCATTTTTCTCGTGCAATATAAAGGGTTCATAAATGTCAAGTGAAATACAGTCAAAACATTTTTTTCATGTAAAAAGTAATAATCGTAAAAATCATTTTGCATTTTTTTTTTTTGTTTTTTGTTTAACAAACTTACTCTATAAGAAAAATCAAAATCGAAATAAAATATTTGATCTAAATATTGTTCATCATTATGTATCTTTTAGAGTAGAAGAAATAGAATCAACCATCATGACAATAATAATTAGATGATAATAGTGAATTTACTCTCGTCGATTTTAGTTCAAGACGTGAAGGATAATACGAATTGATTTTTTTTACTCTTCACGCAATTTTTATATTAAGTGATCATCATTTTTCCTTGAGAAGCCATTGTTCATATTTCTTCTACTCTTTCATTAATATGTTGCGATGTGGCGCACATCTTTGTTATCTTATAAAATGAAAAATTATTTTCCTCTTCGTTTTGTAGGCGTAAAATAAAAAAAGAGTTAGAAATATGCTCTCCCTTCATTCCACACACGAGTGATAGAACCTTTTGAAAATTACACTTAATGTTTTAATACCGAGAACGTACCACCGTAAAATCACCTATCGTATTTTGAGGAAAAAGACAAACAACAGAAGAAGAAGAAAAAAACAGCTTTTTTTTGCTAATACATAGTTAACGGAAAATTGTTTTAAGAAATCTGTGAGCGAGTATGAATCAGAGATATTATTCATCATCAACCACATACTGTTTGTAAGTATAACTGTAACATCGTAAATTGGATCAAATTGGATCATATCATAGGCATTAAATTAAGAATACGATATTTTTTGAGACAAGTACGGAGAATTAAAAAAAAGAAAAATTAGAAAAAATCATCAATAAAAATGATAAATTACCGACAGTAGGTCAAAACTATCTGTGAAAAATATAAATGGAAGGAAGAGCGTAAGTGAAAGTCGTACTGCTTGGATACACAGTTTTTTGGCCTGGTTAATGAGTTGCCAGATTGATTTGTGTTAAATTGGTCTAGTTCAAACTTTGAGTGAAATTATACATTTTTATATATGTTGTCAAATTTTCTTGTGTGTGTGTGTGTGTGTGTATGTAAATAAACAAGCGATTTCATAAGAGAGTTATTTAATATAAAAGTCAGTTTCAAATTTCTTTGATATTTATTAATTTACTGAGTGTTGAGGCTAATTTTTACCGAGGGTCATCCTTGCTTATCAAATTATGATGTTGATATGTTGACTTGGCGCTGAGTTGTTGATATTGATAATCATCATCATTATTCTTAGTCTTGTTACGTAACAAACAAAAAGTTTTTTTTTTCTCTCTTCCATTCAGTTCTCTTTATGTATATGCACAGTAGATATGGATAAATAAAAGAAGAAAGAAAAGTATATATCTCTATCACTTCGCCTTGTCTTGTTTTCTTTTCTTCCATATGTACCGATGTTTAGAATAAAAATAAAAAAAAACTGTTTTATAGATGTGTGAAAAAAAAAGAGAGTAAAAGTTGAAAGATACGTATGGTGTATAGTGCGTTTGTGTTCTACGTCTTTAACAAAAGTAAAGGCGACTGATCTCTACATTTTTATGTCTCTGACTCATACATATTGTCTACAATAAAAAATAATGATCAGGTTGGTTTAATTTTTCGTTAGACGAATACCTAGGTCTGAAAACGTTGCCTCTTTTCTTTTTTTATTATCGAATTATCATTTGTTCAAATTTAATTTTGAACTAATTTTTTTAAATCGATCATCTAGAGATAAATTTCATTAAAAATTTGTTTATATTCAGTCTTACAGCTTTTAGAGACAAATTCTTTAAGAGATATCGAGTTTAAAATAATATTAACGTTTCCAAAAGCGTCTTCTATTTTTTTTTTTTTAATCCAAAGTGCAGACCTATATAAATGCAATGAAAGGTCATTTGGACCGGACTCTCATGAACAGAGGAAGAAAAAAAGTAATCAGATATATTGTCGATATTAAGTTCTTTAAGTTACATCATACTGTCTACATCCAAATTCTTTGCTTCTTATTTTATTCGTTATTACTATTACTATTATTATTATATGAGTTATGTATGTATGCGAAGCAAATAAATATACAAAAATTTTGTTCAGAGTTTTTTTGTTCTCTTTTGGTAGTTTTTTTTACTGGTGATAGAAAAACATATACACACAAATGTGAATATTAAAAAAAATGAGTAACCTTGTCTCTAAACTTACAACAATCGATAGTAGTACCACCATCATCATTTTATTAATAAAAATTTTTTGCTTCATTCTTCACTTCACACATCTATACACAAATATTTTATTAAAAATTTCCAAGAATAAAAAATTTGTTATCAGTTTTAGTATGATAAATATATTCATTTACTCATATATTTTATTATTTTTTTTAGATATTACCATCATTGTTATCATGTTTTTAAAATAATTTGTTAATATTATTTTATTAAACAAAATAGAATTATAGAATAGAAAATTAACTAAAAATGCCATCCGCAATGGATGATCATGAACCAGCTGAAATGAAATATTTACGTTCATTTGATTCATTAAATAAAGATATGATTACTGATGCGACAACATCAAATGAATGGGCAGCAAAAAAATATGTTTGGGTACCTGATGAACAAGAAGGTTTTATTCGTGGTACAGTAAAACAAGAACAACATGATGGTTTACTTACCGTCGATTTAGATACAGGAAAACGAATTAATATTCATAAAGATGATACACAACGAGTTAATCCACCAAAATTTAGTAAAATTGAAGATATGTCTGAATTAACATGTTTAAATGATGCCAGTGTTTTATATAATCTCAAAGAACGATATTATAGTGGATTAATTTATGTATGAAAAAAAGATTGACTATTTAATTCTATTAAATTTTTAAATTATGTTTGTTTTTTATTTTATTTAGACCTATTCTGGATTATTTTGTGTGGTTGTTAATCCTTATAAACGTTTACCAATTTATTCTGAAAATGTTATTGAGTTGTACAAAGGAAAAAAACGTGAACAAATGCCACCACATATATTTGCTATTGCCGGTGATGCCTATAGACTTATGTTACAAAATAGAGAAGATCAATCCATATTGTGCACGTATGTCATCCACAGTTTTCTTAACATTTTACAAGATACTATATAATTGAGATATAGAAACTCTCTTCTTCGAATGATTCAAATATTCAAAGTACTAAAATTATAATGAGATCTTATGAGAGTACTATGATCACTATTGCACTTCCGCATTCACGAGATTCTTGTTAGCCACTAATAGTAAATATTTTTATTTTTATTTAGTGGCGAGTCCGGTGCTGGTAAGTTGTTTTGAATCTCTTTCTAAATTCTTCTCGTTTAAACTTTTTTCTTTTCAAAGGTAAAACTGAAAATACAAAAAAAGTCATTCAATATCTAGCCTATATTGCCGCGGCACCAAAGAGTTCTCAAAGACAAACGCCAAACACCGCTGCACAATATCAGGTAAATATCAAACTCTTTTAATTGATCAGAAAATAAGTAAGCTTTCTCTTAACACAACAACAGATCCCTGTATCAAAAGCATTAGATGCGTCCGTAAGTACGATATAAAAATAATTGTATTTGCTAATATTATATGATTTTTTTCTCCTGTTAATGTGTTTTATTTGCTTCGTAACACCATGATGAGAATAACATTCTTCAAACTGTTTGATTGCTGAATGATTTTTTTGTATCCATAATTGCTTTAAGATCTGTAGTCAGCAAAATGGTAAAGCTTTTAGCTACCACGTTCGTTGGATCAAATATACCAGCCAAAATGTCACTGATGGCTCACAGAGACGCACGATGTGGGTTTTGTTTCGAGAAATAATACCTTTCCAAGTTAAACGTTATGTTTTCTATTGCCTCGTCAAAAATAATCTTTAAACATTTTTACCTGTAATTTAATTGATTGAAGAAAGCATTGATGTACGATAGAGCAATCCTGTAAATTTTGTTACTCTTACTTTTGGCTCTCCTGCTTTGTTTGGCTTTTTTGTTTGTTTGTTTGCAATCAGTGATTTGATTCTGTATGATTGCATATTCTTTTTATTGTTTCAGGGTGAACTTGAAGCTCAGTTATTACAAGCGAATCCAATTCTGGAAGCATTTGGCAATGCAAAAACCGTAAAAAATGATAATTCGTCACGATTTGTAAGTAAAATAGTTATGTGTACAGTAGTATGCTAAACATTGTTCTTTAATTCAGGGCAAATTTATTCGTATTAATTTTGATACATCTGGTTTCATAGCTGGTGCTAGTATTGAAACGTATTTACTCGAAAAATCGCGTGCTATTCGTCAAGCGAAAGATGAACGTACATTTCATATTTTTTATCAATTATTACGTGGTGCTAATACAAAAATGATTACCGATTATTTATTAGAAGATTTTAGTCGTTATCATTATTTGACACATGGTAATGTTGTTATACCGGGTATTGATGATAGCGAAGAATTTCAACAAACTGTAAAAGCCATGCAAATAATGGGAATGTCATTAGATGATTTAAATTCATTATTTCGAACAATATCGTCCGTATTACAAATGGGTAATATGCAATTTAAACAAGAACGAAATAGTGATCAAGCAACATTACCTGATAATACGGTGGCACAAAAAGTTTGTCATCTATTTGGAATTAATGTAACAGACTTTGTACGATCATTTTTAAAACCAAAATTAAAAGTGGGAAGAGATTTTGTTACCAAAGCACAAAGTCAAGCTCAAGTATGTTTTTGTTTGTTAAATTACTATAAAAATTTATGTTGTTAAAATATAATTTCCTTTTACAAATCAAAGTTATTTTTACCCATTAGTAAATTGATCATCTCATAGGGTGAACGTTGAATAGAAAGATCACTACTTTATAGCACGTATCTAACAACTTTTTAAGTCTAACATTTTGTTATCAGTAATTCGATTTTTTGGCTTTATCGTATATTTATTACTCTAAATGTTCCATTTTTAGGTTGAATATGCTGTTGAAGCGATATCAAAAGCTGTTTATGAACGAATGTTTAAATGGATTGTTCAACGAATTAATAAATCATTGGATCGTAGTAAACGACAAGGTGCATCGTTTATTGGCATATTAGATATAGCCGGTTTTGAAATATTTACATTAAATTCATTTGAACAATTATGTATTAATTATACAAATGAAAAACTTCAACAATTATTTAATCATACTATGTTTGTATTGGAACAAGAAGAATATAGACGAGAAAATATTGATTGGGAATTTGTTGATTTTGGTCTCGATTTACAACCCACCATTGATCTTATTGAAAAAGTATGTATTTAACATTCTATTATAGTAGCTGCACTAAATATTTGTATGAATTACACTAGGTACACATCATTTGGAGAGAATAAATATCAGTGCTTTTTTGTATACAAAATATGACTGCTCAAGAACGTCTAGATTCTCATTAATATTAGCAATCAATGTTTATTGTTTTTTTCTAGCAAATGGGTATTTTGAGTTTGCTAGATGAAGAATGTTGGTTTCCAAAAGCAACTGATCGTACATATGTTGATAAACTAATCAATTCTCACGCTCAACATCCTAAATTTGGTAATAATGATTTTCTTATTTTACCATTCATATTGTCTGAGGAAACATTTTATTAAATTCATCTTTCTATTTGGTGTTTTAGGTAAACCTAATTTTAAATCAACATCTGATTTTAGTATAATTCATTATGCGGGAAAAGTCGAATATGCAGCTGATCAATGGTTAATGAAAAATATGGATCCATTAAATGATAATGTTGTTGCTTTATTACAAACAGCCAATGATCCATTCACTCGAGATTTGTGGAAAGATGGTACGTTAGTTGAGTTTCATATCTTTCTATAGTTTGAATACGATGAACACGTGGAGATTTTGTTTCTCACACATTCGCTTTAGTTATTGTTTGGGGTAAAAGTCCAATCGTTGTTCTAAAACAGGTTGCATTGTATCCTGACTATAGTAAGTAAGACAGCATGGAACTGAGCGTGGTTTAGGTCCTTTAAGTATTTCTTTCTATTTGATCCGAGCATGGTATTTGTATGCTGTGATGATGATCAATTCTATTAAAATTCTCGAAAAAAACTCATTCTTTTTTTTAGCCGAAATTGTTGGGTTATCAGCCGCTGATCCAAATGATGCGACATCAAATTTAAAAGCAAATATTAAAAAAGGTATGTTTCGAACAGTTGGACAATTATATAAAGATCAATTAACAAAATTAATGAGTACATTAAAAAATACAAATCCAAACTTTGTCCGCTGTATATTACCAAATCAACAGAAAAAAGTACTGTACTTTCTCATTTAATGTAAATAAATGAACAATAAAAATGTCATCTAATTTTTCAGGCCGGTTTAATTAATTCTCCACTTGTTCTTGAACAATTACGTTGTAATGGTGTACTAGAAGGCATTCGTATATGTCGTAATGGTTTTCCAAATCGAATATTATTTCAAGAATTTCGACAACGGTAAATCGGTTCCGATTCTCTTGGTTAACAAATCTTATAATTTTTCTACTTTTAGTTATGAAATATTGTGTCCAAATGTGATTCCAAAAGGTTTTATGGACGGAAAAGCAGCATCTCAAAAAATGGTAAGATAAAAATTTGTTCTTTTTTGACTCGAGTTGGAACAATTAACCATTAGCGATTATTTAGATTAAAGAATTAGAATTAGATGAAAATCTTTATCGTATTGGTTTGACAAAAATCTTTTTTCGTTCTGGTGTTCTTGGTCATCTTGAAGAAGAACGTGATTTAAAATTAACCGATATAATTACACAATTGCAAGCATTATGTCGCGGTGTACTGGCTAGAAGGTATATACGTGGTCCTACTGTTACTTTATAGTGATTAACTATAACTATGATCTTCAACGTTGTAGAAATTATCAAAAACGAATTCAGCAGTTAAATGCAATACGTGTTATTCAACGAAATGGACGAGCTTTAATGAAAATACGAAATTGGAAATGGTGGAGATTATTTACAAAAGTAAGTTTTGGTTTAAAAATTTTAACGAACTTTGAGGATATTGAAACCAAATTTATGGATTCTGTAAATGTTATTGTTGTTTTTACTTAGATCAAACCATTGCTTCAAGTAACACGACAAGACGAGGAATTAACTCAAAAACAAGAAGAAATTAAGCGTTTACGAATAGATATTGATCAACGCAATATTCAAATTCAAGAATTTCAACAACAATTACAACAGACTCAACAGGAACGAAATATGATTAATGAAAAGTTAATTCAGTTATCTGAAGCAGTAGTTGAAAGTGATGAGGTAAACTAATTTGTCATTTTTTTTTGAATTTTTTCATTTGATTGTTTCGACATTTTTTATTTCTTTTAAGAATCAACGTCGTGTTCAAACACGCAAAATTGAATTAGAAAATATTGTTCAAGAATTAGAACAACGACTCGAAGAAGAAATTGAAAGAAGCAACGGATGGACAGCTGAAAGAAAACATCTCGAACAAAAACTACAAGATATTACAGAACAGTAAGTTTCGACTAGATTAACTATTCTAATTCAATATTTGACATGCTTATTCTATTCTAGGCTTGAAGAAGAAGAACATGGACGACAAAAATTACAAATTGAACGCGTTCAATTTGAAGGAAAAATTAAGAATTTTGAAGATATTATTGCTGGTCAACAAAATGATTTGGGCAAAGTGAGAATATGTCGATTATTTTTACATTTCTTTATGTTTTCATCTGTTATTTTTTTTAGTTACAAAAAGAACGAAAATTTCTTGAAGATAAATTACAAGAAGTCAATCATCAACAGCAGGATGAAGGTGAAAAATTTAAACAATTATTAAAAATTAAAACAAAACAAGAATCAGTTTGTAATGATTTGGAAGAGAAATTAAAACGAGAAATCGAAGTAAAATATATTCATACTTTTTGTTCGAAGGTATATATCTAAAGTTGTTTTCTTTTTCAACTTTTGTAGCTTCGTCAGAAACTCGAACGTGAGATACGTCGTTTAGAGGGCGAGGTACAAGAGTTACGTGAGCAACTACAAGATCGTACACAACAAGTTCATGATTTACAAGCGCATTTATCACGTCGCGAAGAAGAATTAACACAAGCAGTAACTTCAGCTGAATCAGAAGCAGCTTCTAAAACATCAGTACGTTTGCATTTTTATACGTATTTTTTGTTGTACGTCATTCATTGTCAAAGATTATTCGGTTTATTTTTTCTAGTTTCAACGTCAACTTCGTGAATTTCAAACACAAATTCAAGATTTACAAGACGATATTGAAAGTGAAAGAGAATCACGAAAACGTTTAGAACGTGAAAAACGTGAATTAATGGAAGAAAATGAATCGTTACGTAATGAATTATTAGATCGTAAAGACATAAATCAAGTAATGCAAGAACAACAGAAAAAACGTGACGATGAATTCTCGGCTCTTAAACGTGCACTCGAACAAGCACATCAAGATCGTGAGCATGTATCAAGTGAATTAAGAATGAAATATACAAAACAATTGGAAGAGATCACCGATCAATTCGAAAATATGAAAAAACAACAGCAGACATTTCTGAAAGGTGTGTAGAGTTGCAGTTAAAAAATTGTGTAGTTGACTTACATATGAGACTAGACATGCATGTGTGGAACTTCTAGCAAATTGTCAGATCTGGGTGATGAATAATAAACGTGTCAGAAAAAGTTTGAGTATAAATGTTGCCAGCGTGGCTCACATAATGAGTGACACTAACTGTCATTCTCGATCGAATTTATAGTTAGTTAGTTAATTTGTCCGAATATTCAATATTTTCTCCACACGCTTCGAAGCTCATTTTATCATGTAAATAAAAAACGATATTATCACGCAAATGCGATCTTGTTAGCTCTTTAATTTACATCTCATACTTATATTTCTTTCTGATTCGTTGTTTGCTTTGAGTGATGTGTTGTTGTTGTTGTTTTTCAGATCGTCAACAACAGCAAACGGAGCTTGTTGATAAAGATAATGAAATTAAAAATTTAAGTGCTCAAAAACAAGATATTGAGCGTAAACGACGTCAATTAGAAACATATTTAAGTGAGTTACAACATAAATATAATGAAACGGATCGTATTCGAAATGAATCTCAAGAAAAATTACAACGTTATCAAATGGAATTGGAACAAATAAACACCAATTATATTGAAAGTGAACAACGTGCTCAAGCAAATGAACGTTCAGTGGGTATGTTGAGACAAGATATTCAAGAATTACAAGAAAATTTACAAGAAGAAAATCGACAAAAAATGAATGCATTGGGTAAATTACGTCAACAAGAAGATGCTCTGAACGACTTGAAAGATCAATTAGAAGATAGAGAAGAAGAAAAAACCAAATTTGAACAAAAATTAATGCAAATGAATCAACAAGTAAATGAATTACGTCGTCAAGCTGAACAAGTAAATGTTGAACAAATGGAAGAATTACGACGTCAATTACAACGTGAAAAAGATAGTTTAATAAAACAATTAGAAGATATGCAAAATGTGAATATAAAATTAACAAAATCAAATCAAAAATTTTCAAATGATATTGCTGATGTTAGTGTTGAATTGGAACGTTATCGAACGATTGTTCAAAATGTTGAAAAACAACAGCGTACATTTGATAAACGTATACAAGATGAGAAAATTATACAAGAAAAATTGAAACAAGAACGTGATTCAAATGATCGTGAAATAAGAGAAAAAGAAACGCAACGTCTCAATTTATTAAGAGATTTAGAAGAACGAAATTTGGCTTATGAAGATTTAGAAAAACGTTTTAGGTAAATGTGTTGTTAAACATCAAAAATTGAAATGCATGGACTAAGAAGGATCAAATCAAAGATTTTAAGAAGTTTTCACTGATATGATTTAGGAGTATGTTTAAGATCAGACGATCAAGAATATCAGCGTGCTTGATTACTGTAAAACATTTTAATTTCTAAATGTAATAAATTATATCTATTTTTTAGACAACTACGTGGTGAATTGGACGATATGCTATCACGTAAAGATGATATTGGTAAAAATATTCATGAATTAGAACGTGTTAAACGTATATTAGAAACAACTGTTGAAGAACAAAAACAACAAATAATCGAATTAGAAGATGAATTACAGGCGGCTGAAGATGGACGATTAAGAGCTGAAGTAAATATGGGTGCGTTAAAACAGCAAATGGATAAAAATGTTCAAGATATCAATGAACAAATCGAAGATCGTATGCGATTATTACAAAAACAATTAAGAGATAATGAACTAGAATTAGAAGAAGAAAAGAAAGTGAAAGCACAAGTATTAAATCAACGTAAAAAATTTGAAATGGATATACAAGATATGAGACAACAGTTGGAGGAAGGAAACAGGCAAAAAGAAGAAGCATTGAGAAATACAAGACGTTTGCAAGTGAGTCACTGTAATTAATGATGATTGTACAACATTTATATGTGATTTTTTTTCTTTCTTAGACACAAGTTCGTGAAGTATCACGTGAAATTGAAGAAATTAAGGTGATTAGAAATGAAGCAATGGTCAATGCTAAAGAATGGCAAAATAAAATAAAAGCTTTAGAACAAACATTACAACAAACATTAGATGAAAAAGATTTGGGTGATCGACAACGACGACAAGCACAAACGGAACGAGACGAATTACAACAAGAATTAGCTGCATTAGGAAGTGGAAAGTATGTCCTTTTCTCTCTTCGCTTTATAAATCGCGATATCTAAGCACTTGTTGTTATATTTTTCAGAGGTGCATTTATTGATGAAAAACGTCGCTTAGAATCTCGTATTGCACAATTAGAAGAAGAACTCGAAGAAGAACAAACAAATTCTGAGATGAATGCTGATAAACATAAAAAATCAGCATTACATATTGAACAGTTAATGCTTGATTTATCTGCAGAAAAAGCAAATAATCAAAAAGCTGAAGTAAGAAAAACATGTTCATGGCTTTTTTTTATACCTTTAATCTTACGTTGAATAATGTTTAGGCTGTTCGTTCTAATCTTGAACGTCAGAATCGTGAATTGCGTGAAAAATTGGAAGAATTTGAAGAATTTGGTAAAGGAAAATCAAAAGCTTTATTGGGTGCACTCGAAGCCAAAGTACATGCACTTGAAGAACAACTGGATGTTGAAGTCAGGTGCGATCTTATTGATCTTTAGAGGAATTAATAAAAAATGTAACAATGTTCGCTTTTCATGATTTTAGGGAAAAACAAAAAATTAGTCGAAGCGTAAGAACGATGGAAAAACGTTTCCGTGAAGCGGCTTCTATAGCAGATGAAAGCAAACAACAAGCGGAATCATACAAAGAACAGGTATCAATATAGTTAGCTCATTGAATGAACAACTAATAATCTTATTGTCGTTCGTCATAGGCTGAAAAAGCAAATAATCGTATTCGTGCCATGAAACGTAGTCAGGACGATTTAGAAGAAGAAATTAGTCAGATGAAAGGAAGATTACGTAAAGCACAACGTGAAAAAGATGAACTCGATGAAATGGTTACTGTCCAGAACGTTCAAGCGAAAACACGGTAAGCATTTTTGTTGATATTTGGAAAGTTGATAAACAACAAAAAGTCTCTGTACATCTTGGATGCTTTGTGAAGGAAGGAATCAACAATCGCCATGATGCTCGGTGGTACTGGCCGTCTGACATCATCTAATGATGGAAGAGGCACAGAGGTATTATGGTCATTTATCGACGCTTTGTTCTTTCCACATCAAACAAACAGATATTTGCTTTCTTCTTTTATATTGTACTGCAAAGATATTCATGAATTGTTTCAAGATCAAATACTTGCTCTTTTCTTGTCATTCGTTATGCTAATTCCTTTCTCAGCTTGCGCTTTTAGAAAGAATAATTCACTTAATTGCAAAGATGATACATATCCCCTTGTTTCTTTTATAGCAGTGCATTTAGCGCGATACCAGACAGGTATGATGTGGAAATGCACGATTTGCTTTAGAAAAGTATTTTAAAACGCACGATTTGAAAAACAAAGAGTGCATGTACATATTTTTTTTTATTCGTTACTGGTTTTTAAATATTAATCTGTTTATCTTTATTTCTTTTCTCTGTAGTTGAATCAATACATGCGACATTAGGTGAAATTTTAGACTTGTTATATGTCATAGATGTGGGTGATTAAAATATTGTTTGAAATTGACTTTTTATGTAATATTCTTGTTGTTGTAAACATGTTCGTGTTTGTTTAGTTTGACTTGAAATGAGGAGTAAAATACCTAATGTAGTGGCCTAGTTGTAAAAATAGTTTGGTGTGTAAGCATTGTATTTCTCTAGTCTACAGTAGATGTGTGTGCGTGTACGTTTTCTAAAGTGTATATGAGTACATATTCCACGTTTCAAGTGTATCACACAGTCGCACACATCTACGATTATTTTTGGTTTTATGCAAACCTGTATGTGTGTTTGTGTGTGTAGGATCCAGTCTATTCCTTCTCAATCTCTACTGAATGCAACCTTATTTTGTTGTGAGTTTTGAGCAAATTCTATATGCTTGTCTTGCTAATGTGTACTTATTGTTTCGTAATTCAAAAGTCTTTGCTTATAATAAATTTTAACGAATAACTTCTTTTTGCTTTTAGTCCCTCGACAGCATATAATTCGTCAACATCGTATGTCAAACATATTACATCTACAAGATATTATAGTGAAATGTCTGATGATGATCTACAATCGGAAGCAACAAATGCTAGTGTATCAGAAACACTGAATGGTGGACGAAGTAGTACAGGTGGAATGGGTGATAATAACAGTTTTAATAGTGGTCATCATTAACATTAACGTGTGCATCGTGTACACGTGTTTAATTCCTATAATGACACAGTGATCTTATTAATCTATCTCTCTCTATATATATATGTGTGTGTATAGCTGAAGCAGAATCGTTCAAAATCTCTCTTTTTTTCTCTAGTTTATTGCTTCGCTTCTCGATAGTTTATCCGTGTAATTGTTTTTCCTTTTGTTTTTATACTTATGTCGTTTCTCTTTTTTATATACATGAAATCGCTTGTTTGCTGATTTCTTCTGCATGATTTTTTGTTGTTGTTTCAAAGAAAGTCGGATGTAAAAACTGAATAGATCTGTCTTTGCTCAGAAATCAGATATATTGTCGAGCATACATATGTTCGATCAGAATAGCGTGTTCATCTACCTCATCTAAGCGTTCAACGTTCATTTGTGTGAATACGAGACTCAGTTGTCTTTAAAAAACAAACAATAATTAACAGCTGTAACTTTTTCCTCTTTCGTCTTGCAAGAAGTTGAAAACTTTATCGTTTCCGTTTTATTTCTTTATCTTTTATTATTATTATGTGTGTAGATACAAATAAAACATTCCACGTGTTTTTTTCTTCGTTCTTCATATATGTGAATTTTATAAACGAAAAACAGATAGATGAGCCCATTTACACGCTTTATTTGCCTTATTTGTTGTTGTTACATCAGTATTCACAACTTGTTTATTTCTCTGTTTGTCTTTTAACATAACTACGGCATGCTTTTTATCTATAAATATTCCATATCGATTGTTTGCGACGTTTCAATCTTTTCCTCTTAAATAAACATCTCTCTCTATTTGGGTATGATTCTTTCACTTTTTCTTTTCAGAAACATTGCAGTTTTTATTAAATGTTGATTATATAATAAAAAGAGCAATTATTTTGTAGAAATAATTCATCAAAAGAGAAAAGCATCGTGGATATGAACTTGCATTGTCTTTGATAGCAGAAGTTAGCCAACTCTTCACTTTGTGGACGCTTCAAGCCGCTAACAGGTGCTTTTTATTCCAGAACAGACACTTTGAACAGACTCCATAACAGACATTCTGAATCTGCTTCTTGCTTCAAGTTCTTTGATTCCATGGAACAGTTGATATCCATATCAAAAATTGCATTTTTCATCAGAACAAGGGGAAACGATTACTCGATACTGGATGCGTCGAGTTTTAGTCCAACGTAAATTTGCCATGGAGGTTTTTCTGAACTTGAACTTTACCTTTTTTCCCTGAAAAACTTTTGAAGTTGTGTATGAATCCTTCATTTCTAGAAAATTTGAATTGGTAGTAGGGTGGAATTGATGCATAATGAGTACATACATATCTGATTGCACAAAGTACAGTATCACCTTGCTGCTCTATTTTGATGTTAACACTTGGAACAGTCTACGCACTAGTTTGAATTCCGACTAAAACTAGATCTATCTGTAGACTTGATACTAGTGAATAGAAAATTCGATGGGATAAATATTACCGTGGATAGTTCTATATTGAACCAGGTGAAATTAAGCATTTTTTCAGTTCAAACATCTTACTTTGTACTTTGTCATTTAAAGGATAAGATTGATGATGTTTTGTAGTCAAACTTTTATGAGTAAACTGACAGAATCAAATAATACCAGTGTAACATATTTATTATTATTTAGAAAAAACAGTCAATCTGTCAAAACTTGAGCGAGTCCATAATTGTACGTTTTAGTCGCTGATAATACACTATAGGTCTTAAAGAAATACTGTAATTATGCATTTACCGTTTTCCGCTGTATCAAAATCATTCTACTTTAAACCGTTCTTAAAACTGCTATGATAGGTGAACTAGACGATGATGAGTCAGCTGGCGTGATCGAGACGGACGAATTTGGTTGAAGTTTTCGCGCTAAAATTGATGTCAGCTCTTTGAGAACACATGTCCGATAAAAATTATGGTAAAAACTGGGAAGATCTTAAAACTTTATTATCAAATTCAAATTTAAACCGTAAACTCGTCAAATAATTTCTGATGATATTAAGATATCAGCTGAAATGAAATAGAAGAGTACGTTCAGTTCGTTTTTTATATATCTTACTGTTTATCTCGCGAGAGAGATGTTCTAGGTCACCTTATCATTACTAAACTTGATAAATATTGCTTAACAACGGCAAAGAGAAAATAATCACGAAAATCAAAATCTTGCTATTGTAACAACCTAACTATGCGTATGAAACCAGCCAGCAACATAAAACTACTAATTCGTGAGACTGCTAAGGTGCTTTTTTAATTCAATTTCTGAGATCTTACTAATTATTATGCAATTTGCTGAGCCATTAAGTTTCTCAGAATATCATCCACGTTGTTATGTTATCTATATGAAATGAGCTACCAGCTGTTTTTTGACATGGTACATCGAAAGGTTTTGAGTAATTAATTTATTAGGCTTATTAATAATTCTATCACCAAAATTTTGCGCACTATCTATCGAACGTGAGGTAGATGTATTCAATTTTTGACGTCTAATTGTCAGTTCGACCACTCTGTTGAACATTTACCACTCGTTTACCTAATTTATTCTTTACTCTTATGGTAATGGTATTCAAGTCGAATTCATACGTCGTAAACGACGATTTACATTACAGCGAGACCGACATCAAAGAGCCAAAAGGCCAAGCCTGGGGAGCCTTCTGGAAAATGAAATGAAATCAAAGATAATTCCAACTCGTCTCAAGATCAACATCTTCCAAGCCTCGTGTCTTTCAATACTCCTATACAGCTGGATCATCACCCGCAAGCTCGAGAGCAGTTTGAACAGCTTTGCCACCAGCTGTTATAGAGTAATACTCAACATAAAGCGTCTTGACAAGATATCGAATGGGACTGTCTACAAAAAGACCGGACAAGAACCTCGGGTGCAGACAATGCAACGACGTCAATTGCGATTCATCGGTCATTGCCTTCGAAGAGATGCGAGGGAATTTATCAATACGTACGCTCTCTACTTATCGAAACTGAGTCATGGCAAGTGCAGGCGCGGTAGCTCCCGTCTAATGTATCCCGCTTACATTGCGAGGCTAATTAACAACGATACACCACCATCGGTCGACGAGATTAGAAAGGCTGCCGCGAACAGAGAGAATCGGTCCAGGATCGTTGTCGCCTGCAAACCTGGATTGTTCGCAGCCGAACGATGATGATGACTAAGTTAACAAACTGAGTGCGTTTACACTGGACAAGATTGGAAGGATTAGGATAGGGCTGTGACAGTTACCAGTTGCCGTTACCATCGTTCCTTACTAACGGTAACCACAATTGACATAAAACTAATAAGCATCGTTCCTCGTTAGTAGAGGTAATGGTAATTGATATACAGTAAGAAATCCTTTACCCTCTAGTAACGAGGAACGATGCTTATTAATTTTATATCAGTTACCATTACCTCTAGTAACGGAGAACGATGGTAACGGTAACTGGTAACTATCGCAGCCCTAGATTAGGATTAAGCTGACGAGGGAACCTTCACAGGTTGCAAATCGCTTTCGGGCTAAAACCCAGTGGATCAGAGGTAATCAAGGGTGATGATTCCGAATAGAACAATTATTTTGGCCGATAGGTCTTCAGAGACCGGATTTCTGGAAAACCAGTTCTTCAAAACTCCTAAAAAATAATCCAAACCTTTGTTAATGAGACAGAATTGTAGCCCGCAGATTTCTGATTAAAATGAGACCTCTCCGAGCTCTACACGAACTTTCTTTGCAAGATTGTAGAATTTACGAGAAAAGCCCTAAATTAATTTCTTCTCATTTCTGTAGCTTTGAGCTGACAATGAACATTTAGGGCTTTTCTTGCAAACTCTATAACTTTGCAAAGAAAGATCGTGTAGAGCTCGGAGAGGTCTCATTTTAATCAGAAATCTGCGAGCTACAATCCTGCCTTATTGACAAAGGTTTTTTAGGAGTTTTGAAGAACCGATTTTCCAGAAATCCGGTCTCTGAAGACCTATCAGCCAAAATGATTGTTATATTCGGAATCAGCACCCCCGATTGCTTCTGACCCGCTAGGTTTTAGCCCGAAAGCGATTTGCAACCTGGGGAGGTTCCCTCGTAAGTTAAAATGCGTCGTGTGAACGCGGCTTAAGTTTCCATACTATGGGATTCATTTATTTCATGACAATGTTTTAATATGTATTCAGCGGATAATTAACGTAATGCCTAGCCTCTAAATGCATTACAGTTTTAAAGATGATTAACGCAATATGTAAGATAAAATCTCTAGGCTATGATAAAGGTTAAAGCTTTAGATTGATAAATCATTATTTGAACCTCACAACTCTCCCCGACTCCAGTAATTAAAACATTTTTTTGTTATGTAGATAGTCTACATTTTCTTCATCAGTTATGTGGTAAGGTTGCTGTATGTTATTAAACAAAATCTTCACCTTCGATTATCGTATTTAGCTGCTCCGCACCACATTTGCAACTCTCGCTGGCGTGATTGCTGTCTAGTTTATATAAGTGTTTAGTCATTTAATTGTCTGAACAGCGAAGAATTTAAGCATTAAAGTATTGGAGTATATGATGAACATTCAATTATCTGAGCATTCGAGCATTTAGTCATTTACAGTGGATTGACGCCATTGTTAAGCAATAATTAAGTTCAATTACACATTAGCTCGAGAATTCACCGTTTCGTTTAGCAGCGAGAGAAGTATAAATACGGCATTGAAAAGCATGAAAAATGAGATTAATCTTCCAAAATTGCTTGTTTTACCGTTTTTCTTTATCTTTTTACCTTTTGAATGACACACTTTCTATATCTGCAAAGTTTTTTTACTCTTTTACTTGTTGAAAACAAGAATTAAAAAAAAATAAATAGTGTTTGGAAAAACGAAACCACTCTGAGTGCCTTGCTTACAATCGTACGTTCATCGTTATACTTCAATATTGTATTAAATTTAGTCTCACATATCTATTCCTTTTTAAATTAACAGCAGCCATAGACTAAACTGAAATCTATTTTATTAAAAAAAAGATCTGACGTCTCGACTCTTCATAGAATGGTATGAAACATACCATTTGTAAGAATTTATCTAGTTCTATCTGAAACACTTATTCTCAGACTTGAAATAGCTGTAGAAACGAATATTATGTTAAAATAACTTGAATTTTTCCTGGAAAAGTTAGTAAATCCTCTCTAGCCAGTTTTCGTCGGTCTTAGTGTAACAGATACTCTTGCATAGAGCTCGACGAGTTACATTGAGCACACTTGTCATTTGGAATTGGCACAGCTATGTGGGCGAATATTAGGCCGAAATACTAAATTTTCCATTTTATGTTTATTAGAAAAATCCATAAATTAGCTCTAAAATATTTTTGGCCCGTCAGAATTTAACACGGTTGCATAGAGCTCGTTGAATTTTATCTGGCACAACCAAGCCCAGAATTGGCACAGCTGTACAACGAATATAAGTTCAAAGTACTCAGATCTGCTGCTAACTTCACCTAAGTCACATTAATACCACTTAGGTGGCAACATTTTTCTGAGGACGTGCTTAACATTTTGGAACCTATGGTCCGTTGGAGATTTTGTAGATCTACACATAGAGATTACAATCTCTACCTGCACCTGCTCATGAAAGTGTTTGGCTAAAAAATGATGAGGATGCCCACAAAAGGTCTGTTCCGCTGGAAAATGGGATCCTCATAGGTCTAAAAGGTCAACGTGCGTTGTTTTCAAATTTTTTAAACACGATATTCGTCATCAGGAGCTCGAATTGTTCTAGTTCTGTTACTCTCGAACTGTTCGGATAAAGTCAATGTAAACGTGGTACGTTTTCCAAACAACAACCCATTACCCTAGTTCTACAAATCTTATTACTCTTTCACAACAATACTTAAATGAATTCTCACAGAGAAAATAGAAAAATATACAAAATTCCTTAACCAGCCATGTGTTTTCCTTTTGCGTAGAATTTATATTAAATTAGCCATCAGTCACATACTCAATGAGCACAACAATAGATTCAAAACCATCACACAGCATATCTACTTCACAAACAACAACGGATTGTGCGCAAACTTCGATTTATCGGACAAAGTTTATTGAGCAACAAAACTTAGAAAACTTTCAGATCGTTTGGCTTGATGCTAATATCAATAAAACAGATGATAATTCCCAAACAATAGCTCGATTACGTGCTACTATTAATTATCTAAATATATTTGATAATGTTGATGACTGTTATGACTACATAGCCAGTGTTGAAAATGAAAAATTATTTTTAATTGTATCAGGTTCAATTGGTCAAAATATAGTACCATATACTCATCAAATGCCACAAATTCAATTTATTTATATATACTGTTTTGACATCGAAAAACATGAACAATGGGCAATGAATTATGACATAGTGCGTGGTACATATACTAATATGAACGATATTTGTGAGCAATTAAGTAAAGATGTTGCCACAAGTTCGCATCAATTCTTATCCATGAATATTCTTTCTACAAACATAAAAGAAAAAGAAATAAATAAACAAGAAGCTTCATTTATGTACTTTCAATTGTTAACTGAAATCTTAATCGGAATGGAACATGAAGATGATGCAAAAACAAATATGATTAATCACTGTCGATTACAATATATTGGAAATGAAATCGATTTAAAACATATCGATGAATTTGATAAGACTTACAATCCAAATAAAGCCATATGGTGGTACACAAGCCATTGCTTTTTATTTGAAATATTGAATAAAGCACTTCGAATTCAAGACATTGATATTCTATTTAAATATCGTTTCTTCTTAACTGATCTTCATAATCAAATAAAACAATTACATTCAGAGTTTGTTCAATCATTTCCAACAGGAAACAACGACAATGAACAAAAACAACTGACTGTATATCGCGGCCAAGGCATAAACGTAGATGAGCTTGAAAAACTAAAGAATAATCTTGGAGGGCTCTTATCATTCAACTGCTTTCTATCCACAAGTACCAATCCAAAAGTAGCACTCATGTTCGTCCCAAATCAATCGGATATTCAATCTGTTCTTTTTGAAATAAATGCTGACCTTCGTAAAGACACAAAACCATTCAGCATCATTACACAAATAAGCAAGTAGAATCACGAACAAGAAGTCCTTTTCTCTATCGGAACTATATTTCGAATCGAATCAGTTGATAACTTCACCAACGGAGTCTGCCAGATAAGACTGACATTGACTACACAAGAGGATGAACAGCTCAAGCAACTAAGACTACACTTTCGCATGGAACTAGGCGAACCGTTAAATCTGAACACCTTGGGTGAACTCATGATGAACATGGGAGAATATCAGTACGCTCAACAATATTTCACAACAGCAATTCAAAACAACCAGCTAGCACATCCCGATATTCCACAAAACTATAATAATATTGCATCAGCTTTAGAAGCAAAAGGTGAATACGATAAAGCATTAGAGAATTCTGAAAGGACACTGGAAATTCAACTCAAATCATTGCCCTCCAATCATCCATCATTAGCAACTACATATAATAGTATTGGATTAGCTTTAGATGCAAAAGGTGAATACGATAAAGCATTAGAGAATTATGAAAGGACACTGGAAATTCAACTCAAATCATTGCCATCCAATCATCCATCATTAGCAACTACATATAATAATATTGGATCCGCTTTAAAGGCAAACGGTGAATACGATAAAGCATTAGAGAAGTATGAACGGACACTGGAAATTCAACTCAAATCATTGCCATCCAATCATCCATCATTAGCAACTACATATAATAATATTGGATCCGCTTTAAAGGCAAAAGGTGAATACGATAAAGCATTAGAGAATTATGAAAGGACACTGCAAATTGATCTCAAATCATTGCCATCCAATCATCCATCAATAGCAACTACATATAATAGTATTGGATTAGCTTTAGATGCAAAAGGTGAATACGATAAAGCATTAGAGAATTCTGAAAGGACACTGGAAATTCAACTCAAATCATTGCCCTCCAATCATCCATCAATAGCAACTACATATAATAATATTGGATCCGCTTTAAAGGGAAAAGGTGAATACGGTAAAGCATTAGAGAGTTATGAAAGGACGCTGGAAATTCAACTCAAATCATTGCCGTCCAATCATCCATCAATAGCAACTACATATAATAATATTGGATCCGCTTTAAAGGGAAAAGGTGAATACGATAAAGCATTAGAGAATTATGCATTTCAATGTGGATCTGGTGATGTGGAGAACTGTGAAGGGCGGAAAAGTGCTGGAAAAGGTACACCATTCTAGTGACGTTGTAGATTGATCAGTGCCCATTTTTCTCTCATTTAGGTAAAAGTATTAGAACGATAAAGTATTAGCGAATTATGAATGGACACTAGAAATTTAACTCAAATCATTGCCATCCAATCATCCATTATTAGCAACTACATATAATAATACTGGATTAGCTAGTTTATTTTGTTCATTTGTCCGTTTTTTTGGCCAAATATGCACCTCGTGATCTAGAGAACTATCAAAGCTAGAAAAGTTCTGGGAGAGGAAGGATACTCTCCCGACATGGAAGATCGACAAATACACATTTTACTCCCAAATAAGAGGGCGAATTCGATGCCATAAGCGCCACTGGCGAAAGAAAAGTGTATTTTGGGCTTTGAAATTTTTCGTATAATCAGTTGTTTGGCGCCATTTTCTGTGAGAAATTTAATGTAACAGACAATGTGATTTTGCTAATAAGAGAATTTTAATACAAAAGAGAGTGATGGAAAGAATATCTTTTAGAAGAAGAAGAATTGTTAATTCAAGATCCAAGCAATACTGAAGAAGAGACATCAATTCATTGATAATTGAAACCGTTTAGAATAATAACAATAAGAAAACAGAAGAAACAACAGTTCCTATTTCATACATATATACCTTCTGCTTTTAGGTGAAAACCGTGTACAAGAACCATGAAGTATAAAACTAGATTATGAAAACCGTAAAATGCAAAAGTATAGAAGAAAAACTATGGAAGTAAAACCGTAAAGGTTAAAAGCATAGGAACAAAACCATCCACTTTCGAACCATCGAAAAAAACCCCTAAAATAACACCGTTAGTGTAAGATCTGTATAATTAAAACCATGAAAAAATAGCGTAATGGTCAAAACTGTAGAAATAAAATCATGAACGGGTAGTTTGCCAAAGGAAAACAATGAAAATAAAAGAGTGAAAAGGAAAACCGTCAAAGTGCTTTCATGCTTTTTAGTTGACGGTTTTGTCGAAGCGTCAAAAATTCATTAAAACATACGCATTTTCAGTCGTTGGCACGTCAAAAAGTCTACCTAATCAACTAACATAAGTTTAACCAAATGAGTCTTGGGCTTTTCGACAAATCTATCTCACACTCAGGATTGTTCAATAAAGAGCATAGTCGGGTAGATCACAGAGTAAACTGGCACTTGGAACAGGGAGGGAGAAAGTGATAAACTGTAGTGAGGTGTGCGGCGTGAAACTTGGATCGGTTGTAATAAGTCGTTCATTAATTAAAAATTTTCTTTTTATCAGCAAGAAGAAATAAGTTTAGTGCAAAAGACCAGACTAGAAATCGATACTACGTTTTACTGTCCAGCGCTCACGTTTTATGTAAATGACGCTACCGAACAACATGAAAGGCGTGAAACTTCTCTTTCTTCTTGTTGCTACCTGTGGCAGTGTTCGTAGTCAACGATCTTGCTTGACACATGATTGGGCTTCATGTGGTGCGGAAGTCGCAAAGAGCATCCATTCATCTTACAATTCATGGCATAATCACGAGCAGCAAGAAATCTTCGACACAACCTGTACGTTAACGGTCAAAACGGAGCTTCTATCGATGGAAATGACCTTGGCAAGAATGATTTTGGTGACCGGCGCTACGTACAATTGTGTGAATATGAATATGATAAAGCACTAGCGCATCATAGAAAAGCACTTGAAATTCAGTTGGAGTCATTACCACCAAATCCCCATCATTAGCAACTAGATGCAATCATATTGGATCAAGTCATTGATGGTCAAGAACGTGCTAAAAATACATTTTACAATTGGTTACGTAATCCGTACAGTGGCTGATAACTCTACATTTTCCATTTGAGGCTCGCAAAAAACGATTTTATGACCTACCTAGCTATCTACTTGAGAACGAAACGTACATCACCATGATGATCAGGATGGTCGATAAGCTATGTTTCCATGTGATTTCACTAGTCCTGCTTGTCACAGGAAGAAAGTAAGGGGCACTTCGAAAAATGAGTACCACCGAGTCTCTCTATAAGCTGTAGGTCTCAGATCTGCGTCAGTTTGTAGTAAGGTGATCGGACGATCTCTTGTAGGTATTAAATCTAAATATTTACGTTGTCTTCTGTTTTTTGGATTGATGGTTTTCTTAAGTACCGCTGGAAAACCACCTCGGAAACCCACAACCACATATGTTTTAAGTGGGTGCTTTCTACTATCCGAGATTTAGCTTCGAGATAGGCTCCGAGCTTTAGCTTGTCAGGATAAGCGCATGCTGCAATCTCTATATTGTAAAGACGCACATTATACAACATGTCAAAAAATCTGTCCGTTACTTAGCGGTAATAATTGCATTCAGTCCAATCATTGAGTTTAGTTTATTTAGTTATAGAGTCTATAAATAATGCTGTTATGATACACAAAAAATTCAAACCTTCGTACCATTTTGTTGCTCAAAAAATTTAAAATATCTTTTTGAGAAGCCCGTGCCCGTCGAAGAGAAGCAGTTGCCAGTCCGTGTGTCTTTCAAGTCTGTTCGTGCCTGTCCATGCCCGCGGGCAGTATGGGCACGCCCGCGGCCACGGGAATTTCCTTGCCCGTGCAGATCTCTAGTATGCATCCATGTGGAGTTCAAATGAGACCCATTACGAAATGAACTATTCTGCTGTTTGTAATGGGATAAATGAACTCTGTTCTCTCTAGTTCTGGAGATTTAAGAGGAAATATTAATGTATTTTCTCTACGTTTCATTATAAACCGTTTTTTCTATTCATTCAATACAATCCTCATAGAAGTAGCTGTATTTTTAATAAATATACATAAAAACGTATTAAATACTAAAGATTAGTTTATTGAGTAGATTTTTAGCAGTTAGAAAGCGATTATGCTGAAGTGCGTTTACAGCAACAACTATATAAAAAAGATAGAATTGAAATGACTGATAAAACTAAAATATTTAAATATAATATCCATAGTTGACAAATGAACAATTGACATAGATACATCACTATTCGTCCAAACGAGATGACAGCTACACTATGTCCAAGAGTCGAAGCTGATTGATTTTCATATCGATTACATAAATAGTCGAATATAATCATTAACCAAATACCGTTCACTATTCCGTAACAGAAAAATAATATATATTGAAATGTGATAGGAGATATAAATGTTCTTATTCCTTCTGAGAAGAATCCTTGTTCTTTCTCACGCCAAAAATATAACATAAAAAAGATCAGACTATGTAATAACGTCACTAATAAAATAACGATCTAGAACAAGAGATATTGGATATGCACTCTATAATATTTATCATCATGAACATACCGTTCTTTGCAGATGTTTCAATAGAACAGCAAATAGAATACTTGAAACAGTCAAACCAATTCCATATAAAATCAATGTTTCAATTAAATGTTTTATACCATATAAACAAGAAACACAAAACTAAAAGAGAAAATACGTCAGTGTCAATGTAAAACAAAAAAAAAGTTAATAAAAATCTTTTTCTGATTCAAAAAGTATATTGTTTGAAAGGCAAATCATTGAAGCACGTCAAATCAATATGATGAGTGTTAATAGAACTAATTTTAGTTTTTAACGTCACATACCTTTGTCATACTTCCATACACATAAGCTTCTTGAAATCCGATAAAAAATAAAAGAATATAGACCAAAAAATGCGCACGTGCATGATATTGAAAAATATTTTGATTATTTTCAATACGATTTTCACAGTTATAAATTGTTTGTAATGATGACCAATTGACAGCTGCCTGTGGAAGTAAACTTATCATTGTAAATATTAATAAAGATATTAAAAATATGTATCGATCAGGTTCAGATTGCCATTCTTAAAAATTATAAAATGAAAAGAACCTTTAGAATATTCAATTGTATCATTAGCAGATCGACTAGTTACTACGTCAATAGCTAACTTAATAGATTTTTTTAAATTTTGAAATGTACGCTCTGAAAAAAATCTAGTTTTTTATTTCGTCCGTCTTATTTCTTTTCCTCCATCTTATTTTACGACGCTTGTTCCAACAAGCAATTCTTCTGTCTTACTTCTATAATTGAACGAAAAGTCATTCACTATCTCTTTTGTTTAGCGTTTACCACTCGTGTATAAAGTCCAATAATATCTTTGAAAAAAGTTTCAATTTATTTTGATTTCTTATTAAAACCATTGATATAGTCAGTATTTGAGATGCTTTCACCGTCCTCCAACAGGACTATCCTTCTATTGATGAAAATAAGATGTAAAAATAGCTCACGTTCAGGTAAGATGGCTTAACTTGATTGTGAAATAGTCAGATTGATTCGTCGTGTTATAAGAATTTTCGATCCTTCTTATATTCTTTCGTCTTCTATTAAGACAAATCAAAGCGACGATTTCGCAATTGTCTTATTTTCCGACAGACTTTCTTTTAGAGTGTAGGTCATCAACTATTACCTTGTTTTTTATCATTATTATAAATGGTCATATTCAATGGTGAAGCTAAAGTGTCATCGCTGGTACATTTCTTAACTAAACACGGATAATATGCCACTAAAATATAATTTCTTCTCCATTCTTGAAATGTAACAACAACAAACAACACGACACAACCAATAACTAATGCTAATTGACAAAGAATATGATAGATAAATACAAATGTCGTTAATGTTGAAGTACGTATTTTTAACCAATTGTTATAAATATCAGTTGTACAAGAATTTGGTCGAACTTTTTTTTGACATTCATCAATGGTCATTGATGCACCCCATTGTAAAAGATTTTCGTATGTTTTTATTTTCATTAAACTCACACTAAATCCACTTATAATGGCACCAATTAAAAGTAAATTAAAATTTGTTTGATAATTTGCTGTAATCCATGCACTAGTGAAAAATGTACAAAGAATAATGGATATTTGTGAACATCGATCAAAATTAATTATTTTCGATATTGTAAAAGTTGATGATTTTGTTTTGATATAATGAACATGATATGAAATTAAAATTGAACTAATTATAATAGATAAATGAAATGATATCAATGAATAGATACTAGTGTGAATAGAATAAATTGTCGTTTGTAATGTTTCTGTACATACAAGACCAGATAATGCTAATGTTGATGCAATTGCACGCATTATAATTAAATGATAATAGGTTGACTTTGTTGTGCTAGATATAGTGAGATCTGTATCGCTAACAAAATCGATATCGTTCTCTTTATCATGAGTAGATAAACAACGTGTTGATGAACGAAGAACATGTAATGGTGAATCTAAAAATTCACTGGTATTTTCCAAAAGTAAATCATTATAGGAAAAACTATCAATTGGTTCACTATAACTTGGTTTTAAGATGCCATGTGATGGTAATTTTTCAACTGAATCATTAAACATATGCATTTTAGTATCAATAAAATAGAGTGAACGTGACGTTGTTTGATTTAACTTTTTTGTTGATGAGAAAACATGATTTTGATTATTTGATATTTGTGAAATTTTTCTATGTGATGCATGTACAGCCATTTGATAACTATTTCGTCGATAGGGTGTCACCAGTGAAGATATAGCACTCTCATCGGAACTTTCATGAAATTTATCCATATTCAATATTTACAGAAAAGATTTATTCACAAGTTAAAGAGAAGACTAATTTTTAAGAAAATTAATTGATAAATCATCGTGTTACTGTTAACTACAGTTAATCTTATTTATTCATTTTTATTAAGATTCTTTGAGAAAAAACAATTCCATGATGACCAAAAAATCATACATTCAACATAATTTCCACAATACATTGTCTTCATGCTCATCCAGTATTCTCATTTTTTCTGGCTAAATAATACATACAATACAATAATTAACTTCAGTTATTTTTATCATTCTCACTGCTGCACTATTTTACTTATTAACTATCTACTGAGTAGACGTGGACCTGATATCTGTAATACCAGTTCGAAAAACCTATCGTATTTAGTGATAACGAATGATATTTCGAATCGGAACAGCAACGATATAAAGAAAATCGGTAGTAGCCAGCCAGTATTAGGGTGCAGAGATGGAGGAGTACACAATTTTTTGAGTATGAGTATTTAGTGGTGGGTACGAGTATGAGTACAAAACAGTTTTACTCGAGTATATACTCGAGTACAAATTTTTTTTAAAAAACAGGATTTTTGTCGGAAAAATTTCGTTTGATGATGGTATATCGATCAGTCTCTTCTGAATTCCTTTTCTTTTGAGTTAAACAGGTTTTCATCCGACTACTTTTTCGAGTAAAACTTTCTCGCATTAAAACAAGTCGCGAGTAAGAGTATCTAAAAATGTGTACTCGAGTACTCATACTCGCCCATCTCTATCAAGGTGCTTTTGAACGGTACTAGCAATGTAAACATTTTATGTCTGAAACGCGTTTAGTGTTGTTGGCAGATGCGTGTGAGCATGTCCAGAATGGAAAATCTGAACGCGTCAAGACGTGTTTCAGTGTGTCAAACTGTTTCATTCTGGACGCGATTTCTCAGACGCAAACGTTCACATGGGTAGTGTATGCGTGCTATAGAGAATCCTCTAGCAAAATCCCTTTACAGTTCTATTTAACCCTTAACCCCGCCCCCTTGGTCAGTGGAGTCACCATTTGTAGATCGATGGCAAAAACTTAAGAAAGCGTGGAATTTAAAAACTTTGGAAAATGCCTTGTAGCGCACTTCATAAGCTATCGATTGGTAAAAAAAGTATTTTGTTTCGTTGCTGTATCTCAGAAAAAGAAGAATTGCAAAATTGATGACTTTTGAAAAATCACAAAAATTGGATTTTTTTCGGAAAATATTTTTCTATCAATAGGCAAGATACATCTTGATAACCTATTGTGTGGTATATGACAGTAATGTCTACTACCAATATCAATGCCGAAAGTTTCAAAAAAGCTAGGTAGATAAGGTATGGTATGACCCAGAATGGTTACTGGAGAGTCCATTGGGAGGGAATGACTTGATAAAGTCCTATTTTGGGCTTTTCGTAAATTTGATGCAGTTCGACCAACAACGTCGTAGAGAGCTCGGGGACATCTCATTTTGTACAGAATTGTTTACTCTATCATTCTACGTAGTTTGAACAAAGCTTTATTCGCAGGTACTAGGTGCTGGAAAACTATGGTTTTGGTTTTCTAGGAAACACTATTATCGGGAATCTAGAGATGATTTTTAGTTTCTAAAATCCTTGTTGGAAACAATTTTTTCGACTCAGGTCACTATCTGAATTTTTTTTAGCGTTTATGGCTGCGAAAAAAATCGAAAATACACTCAATTGATCAATTTTTGTAACCACTGTAGTTTTTCAGCACCTAGAACCTGCGAATAAAATTTTATTCAAACTACGTAGAATGATAAAGCAAACAATTCTCTACAAAATGAGATGTCCCCGAGCGCTTTATGACGTTTTTTGATCGAACTATATCAAATTTACGAAAAGTCCAAAATAGGACTTTTTCAAGTAATTCCCCTCCCCCTCCCCCCAATGGTCACTCGAGTAACTAAACTACTTTGCACAAACGAGCGTGCACCTGACCGATCTGTCCATACTATTACCATATTGGAGATACCAATACTCTATTCCAGTAGTTGTTTCATCAGTGGCTCTTCTGAAACCGCTGTCGAAGGTAAAGGGTTAATTGTTTTTTTTTGTCTATTGAATAACTTTTATCATTGTGCAAAGTGTAGAAATGCTAGTAATCTGAAATCTGATAACATCTCTACTCCAATATCAATAGTTTCTCAGACGAGTAGTCTTTTCTGTGATTAAAATATTTATTCATACTTATATTTATAAAATTTACTTTACCTCTGCTGATGATCAAAAATCGATTTTTTATGTTTGATCACGAAGGAAAAATGTTCTAGATGCGATCAAATTTAACAAAATTACTCATCTATTATATAGATGATCGCTTTTTCATTCTAAAGGAAATGCCTACTTGTTCTAACACAATAGAAAAACGGAAAAATTTATCTAATATAAAACAAAAAAGAAAATGTTGTGTGTTGGTTATATCTTTCAGTATGGATGAATGAATAGAAGCATTATACATAGATACAAAAACATCATTTCAAAACAAGCGAACAACTATTTAAAAATGATGAAAAAAAAGAAGAAAAAAAAAGAGAAAGAAAAGAGATGGAAATGAATTTTCTAAAGATGATCACTAGAAGTGACTAAAGAGAGCTGTTAATGATGATGATGATGATTGAATTCTAAGACAAAAAAGCAGATTAGTATCGACGTATATTTGAAGCAATGTAATGTGTAAATGGAAAGAAAAGTATATACAAGAAAAATATAGACGATCACTATACTTGAATAAAAGCAAAAAGTGTCTATCTAATCTGTGTGAACACCCATAGCTATTCGAACGATCAATTTTCGCGATTGTTTTGTATGTTTCTTTATTATTAACATTTGATTATGATTAACTTTGTCAGTTTCTGCCCAAAAATTTAAAGGAAACTATGATTAATTAATAAGAACTTTTAAATAAATACGGGTACTTTTTACTTAGTACAAAAAAAATATGAAAAACCATGTTGAATGAAAGTATTTACTTACTTTTCACACTTTTTCTTGTCTGATAAATATCAATCACAGTTAGAGAGACTGTTCGGTAAAAAATTCTATTCTGACATGTTTTCGCTAAAAACAAAACTCTGGATACACTCTAAAGTGGAATTAATTTCTAAATTATAGAAAATCGATCTCGAAAATCGCCTGCGATTTTCTGACTTTTATAAATTCCCTGTTGATTTTCTGGGTTTCTAGAAAATCCAGTCGAATTTCTGTAAATTGAATTTTCTTATTAGTCAGAAAATCGATAAAGAATTTCTAAAAAGGTAGAAAATCGCCGTCGATTTTCTACTTTGCTGGAATTTCGATCTTGATTTTCCAGATTCTGGCAAATCGAGTTGATTTTCTATAAAGAATTCCCAACATTCTTGAAATTAGACGTCGAATTTCTGAAAATTTGGAAATTCGTAGTCGATTTTATATAGAGACACGTGGGGCAATTAGAACGCGATCTAAAAATTTTGCGGTATTTTTCTCGTAACTTCGAAAGTTTAGAAGTTTTCATAAAACTTTCAATGCAAAAGTTGTAGGCGATGGTAGTAGGCACCGAATGGGGCAAAAATCAATCAAAAGTCTCATCAGCAAAAGGATTGGGAGCAGTTTTACTATGGGAGGATCCGAAACGTTTTTATTTCCCGCAGATGGAAAATTAGAACGTTTGCTGTGTCTGTATGGGGTAAATGGAACTCATCTACCAAGAGTAATGGGCTTTTCTTCAAAATGTATTTTCTATTTTCTATCTCTATTTCACACTATAAATACAAAGTTATTATCAACATTGCCCAGTTGTTACTGCCCCACCTAAAAAAAGAAAATTTATAAGTTTTTATTATTCGTACTACTATCAATCTAACTTTAACTTTGATTTAGTCGAATCTTTTAGACATATACAGAAATAGATGATGATGAACAGGTGCAATCACAACACCATTCAACTGATGAACAACGACAATGACTAATGACTGCAGAATAAAAACGATGTGTATGGCATGCGAATTTTATATTCTTAAAATCTGCTCAAACTGTTCGTTTGTTTCTGTGTCTGTTTATTCTTTTTCTTTTGGAAAACCAAAATAGTAAATTTTTCGTTTGTTTTTCTATTTGTATTTCCGTGTCTGTATGTTGAAAAGAGAACCAAATCTATATAAATACATATATAAGCTTGATAGAACACGCGTTTTTTCTGCTATTTAACAGATATTTCACGAAGATAATATTATGAGTGTTATTCTACGTGACCGTATGTGATATTATTCGAAATCCATGGGTTAGAGAGAAGAAAAGTAAGCAATTTATTAATATCAAACTATCTAAATCACATTTTTTCTGGTAAACTATTATCTGTAAGAAAGATCAACCGATATTTTTTAGCTAACGTGGTTCTTCTCCTGTCTTACTGGAAACATATGTTTTTGAGTTGCCCAGCGAGAAAGAAAAGAAAGTTTATCAGACATTACAAGTATTGTTCTCTTATAGCTACTGTGAGTAGAATACTCCACACTTATAAAGAGAAATAATCATTTAGTTGAAATAAAGTAGTACGGTAATATAAATTGAGTAAAATTTGCGAGAACATGTTTCTTATAGCGTTTTTTCTAAGCTACATGAGTCTGTGTGAATTTTAAGCGATGGAGTATATTATTTAAGGGGGGTCTCCCATTTAGATTTTTCTCTAACGTTTCCAGTTTGTAGAGGACACTTTGAAGTATATGTCCTGAAGTTTTTTCGGCTTGCTGACATTATTTGGCTGAGAAAAAAATAAATTACTTAAAAAAATATTGTTAAAATTTTGAACAAGGGATTATTATTAAAAAAATTCCTGTCCAGCCTCCATTCATCACAAAAGCTTGGTTCTTGCCTAGATCGATAGAGAAATGTGTGGAGAAGAATAGATGTGTGTGGAGAGAAAATATGCAAGAATATTTGTTCGTTCCTTCCTGGTATTGACTATATTCAACGTACTACCACCACCCGATGACGAACACCCCACCGGTCTAGAAACGCCCACCACCACACGCTTCATTCATCTCCTAGATGTTCGACGGCACTACACGACATTTCACTTTCGTCACATCAACGCTCACCTGATGATGATAAGGTCAACAACAACTGAATCAACGATAATGCAGTTAGTGAAGAATGCGAAAAACCAGACCATTCATCCATCTACCACATGTTCGACGGCACCAGACGACATTTACCTTTCGTCACAGCAGTGCTTACCTGACGATGATGAGCTCGAAAACAAGTGAATCAATAATGACGCAGCTGGTGCAAAAGGCCAAGGAATGGACTACTCATCCATCTCCTAGATGTTCGATGGCACCAAACGACATTTCCCTTTCGTCACAGCAGCACTCATCTGACGATAATAAGGTCAACAACAAGTGAATCAATGATAATGCAGTTAGTGAAGAATGCGAAAAACCAAACTATTCATCCATCTACCACATGTTCGATGGCACCAAACGACATTTCCCTTTCCTCACAGCAGTGCTCATCTGACGATGATGAGCTCACTAACAAGTGAATCAATGGTGATGCAGCTGGTGAAAAAGGCCAACGATAAATGCACTATTCATCCATCTCCTGGATGTTCGACATTTCGTTTTCGTCACAGCAATCCTCATCTGACGATGACGAAGTCACCAACAAGTGAATAAATGATGAGGCAGCTAGCGAAGAATGGCAATCAGGCGACTGTACATCCATCTCCTAGATGTTCAATGGCACGAGATGACATTTCACTTTCGTCACAGCCGCGCTCATCTGACGATGATGAGGTTCCCACAACTGAATCAATGACGTTATAGTATTCCTGCAGATTCAAACGATTGGCATAAGTCAACATAAAGTCCGATACACTTTCGAAAAAATTACTCTCTGTTTGTTATGAAACTTTGATGAAAGAAATGCGAATACCGTCATTTCTCAGTAGAAGATCGATTTTGACTCAAAAATTGAAAAAGTCCGTTCTGCTGGAAAATGCCGCTTCAAACAAGTGTGTGAAGCCACCGTGCAGCTGTTTTAAAATATTTCAAGGTAATATTCGTCCTCAGACGCTCACGTTATACTAGTCCTGCAGATTCAACCGATTGGCATAAGCTGCCGTAAAGTCTGGTACACTTTCGAAGAGATTACTCTAGATTGACTCTTCCATGTAAAAATACCATGTCTGAAACGCGTTTACCGTTGTTGGCCGATGCATTTGAATGTGTTCATTCTGGACATCTTCAAACGCGTTTTTTATTAGTTTCTAAAACATCAGCGCTTATACGCTATTTTTGAAACGCACATGTCCAAATGGGTTCTTCTTTGCTTCTATTTTCCTGCTAAGTTCACAATGATCATATTTGCATTCAAAAAATAGAATTTTGTCGTTCATATTCAAGAAAAATTTAGGCATCTTTTATACTGAATATAATTCAGTGAATCTCAATAGCTAAGTGATAATAATAACATAATTGGATTGCCGGTTACATAGAGGGAGCGACCAAACGCGCATGTAATAAAACAAAGTACTTAAGTTATCAGGAAAGAGAACCACTTTTACAAGAAAAGCAAATTTCGACTGTCAGAGAACTAAACGCTTTTATATCTCGATATATATATGGATAGAAGGTAATCATTGTTCTTTTTACTGGTGCAAAAAATGAGCAAATCATACTGCAATCCATGAATCAGCACAACAGTTAACAATACCGGAAGTTGTCATGTAATTGTCATGTAACTGAAGATGTACTATACTGTACTATACACTTCATATGAATTAAAAAGTCGAACATAATGATTGACCAAATACCGTTCACTATTCCATAACAGAAAAATAATATATATTGAAATGTGAGGGGAGATGTAAATGACAATGTCCTTGTACTTTCTCATGCAAAAAATATAACATCCAAGGATCAAACTATGTAACGAAGTCACTAATAGGATAACGATCTAGAACAAGAGATATTCGACATGCACTCTATAAGATCTGTCGTCATACACCGTAGATGGTAAAACTGTATTTTACGATAGTTTTATCTATGTCTTTTTGTTTTTTACTCCCATCGGGCACTTTGCTCTGTTGTATAATCTAGATTTTTTAGTCAGTGAATCCCCTGCACTGTAGAGCATTTAACTATGAATCAATACGCTAATTGGGCCCGAACCATGTGCCTCAAAAACACGAGAGAATTTCTTGAGAAAGGAGTAAAAAGTGTTTAGAATCAACACTTTATCTAAATAGAAAATTTTGCTGCATCTGAGTTTAACCCATTTGCGGATGTTAGAATCCAGAAGTGACAAAGGAACTGCATAGATACAGATCAGCTAAGTTCATCATCGAAAGACGTATCTGCGAATGTAATATATAGAATACATAATACATATTTTCAGCTTAGAAGTCAAGTGAGAATGAATTGTAAAGTGTATTAAGCTTTGATTCTCAAAGATTACCCTTTGTTTTCTCGTTTGCGTTATTATATGATCTAAACTGTTTTTCTTCAAAACGATTTTTGAGGATGCAGCATGTTGCATATTATTATTATACTTCACACAAACTTGAGGTTTTGTAGATGTTTTATCATATGGATTTATTAATTAACTTTGGAATTGATTTCGTATGTTTCAATTCTAGATCAAATAAACGCCTCTAGTATAGTTATTAGATATTGCAGACGTCTACTTTCACGTCTCATTCTATAGCAGAAAGTAGATATTTGAGAAACAACATTCAAGCCATTCACGACATTTTCTTTAGAGGATGTCACGTCCGGTGCGGAGAAACAGGCCGTATTTACCAGATGTTTATGTACAGGAGCCTAAGCAAAAAGAGGTAAGGAAAGGATACTTTGATATGATGTTATAGTGGTGACAATTTTTTATTATTGTTAGGATGAACTTAGTGCTGAAACAGTCAAAAATGGATTTACATTCAAATATATAGATTTGGCGTTAGAAGTAAGATCATTTTTGAAAATATCTCGATATATTTATGAGAATTCTTCTTTCATAGCATGACGGTTTCAAAGGAACTGATTTTAAACAATCTGAAGATGACATACTGAATTTATTTCGCCATATTCTAACGAAGAAGGATGAAAATAATACCATTAATGATTTAAAAAAGAAGTTCCCATTGAATACAAAAGATAACTTTTGGCCGGTAATGGTAAGTGAGAAAGTAAAATATCTAGTTCTCGCTTATTTTCAACTGTACATTTTAGGCTGCACGTACACAAAAACGTTTCGAAACTTGGATGTCAGCATTAGCATCCACGGAACCTGTTAATAAATTAGCAAAATCGGTTAGTTAGTTACTTGTTATCGTATGAATTTATGAAATTTCATTATGTTTTTACAGGTACCAACATTTTTGAAAAAAGAAGATGTATTTCAACATTTATTTGAGCATAATGTGGCATTATTACGGGCTGGATGGTATATTAAAATGTTAGCACTCTATTACAGTTCAAATAATGATTCAAAACAAAAAAAGCGTCATGTACCAACGGATCCATGTACAGAATGGACAAAAGCGATAATCGATATATTAAAAGACGTGTTTGAACGTTTAATTAAAGACAATCATTCTCAAACATCGATATCGGAATTGAATACACCATCAGCAATCAACCTGGACTCAGAACAAATAAATGGTCCCAATTCAGTTCCAACAACAGTCGGATCATTGACACCTCAATATGGTCCGTCTACTCCCCAAATGTTACACTCATCTATTCTCTCACAACCGTCAGCATCACCAACACAAACACCAACAATTTCAGTCTATCAAAATACAGCAGATAAAACAAGAAGACAATGGGATTATTACAATCGATTGTTGAGGGTACTTTTTGATCAAGGTCTTTTAGATCGTCAAAATATTGTTGAATGGGTTGTTGATACGTTTATTGATCGAATTAAACATGCCGATGATCATAGTCTACGTTATGTTGTGCCTATTGGTAAGCGATTGAAAGAATTCATTGGAGAAAACATTAATACTTGATAGTTGATTAATCTCATTTTAGTTTTCCAGTATAGTAGTGAAATTTTAGAATACGAAATATTTTCGCGTAAAATTTCTTATTATTGCTGTACAAGAATTGGAGAAGTGTACAATGACTATGTCGCTTCGAATTTAACACAAACGACGGTATGAAGTTTTTCCATTAAAATGTCTATCTGTTAGAATGTATATTTGTTGGTTTTTTTAGCTACAAACCACTTTTTCAAATTTGATGACATGTCCTATGCATCGTTTAATTATTGGTTCATTATCGGCTATCGTTCAGTGTATAACGTTACGTTGTCCAGCAGCTCTATTGTATAACGCACCACTCGGTTAGTTTTTAATTTCTATTATTTATAATAAAATTTTTATTTTTATTTCTGATTTATGTGTAGATGAACAACAAAAACCGGACACCTTATTAAAATATAGTTCACCACTAGATTTTTTACCATGTTATCCATCACAATTGCCATTACCAGCAGGTATTGATCAATCAGAAACAAAACAAATGTTAACACAAGCTGAAGATGATTTAAGAGCGAGAAGTTTAGCAATTGAACATAAATGGTCCACAGATAAACTACAAAGTGTATCAGGTCAAGCCATTTCACGTGTATTATATGTGTTAGAAGTACTTGATGAATTTAAAGAAGAACGATATTTACTTGAAAATGTTTATAGTAAAGTATGTAGTCTCATTTATTTATCTGTCATTTTTTTACTATTTTTGTTCTTCTATTGTAGATTTATCCTAATTCAGCGTCAAAAGAATTATTGACACCAGAACTTGAAACAGCTATTGTACATTTGATGTGTGACTGGGCAATAACGACATGTCGAGCGGGTGTTTATAGAGCATTCTTTGTTGCTAGACTATTAGAAAAACGTCAAGCAGAAAAAAAATTGATTAGTCAACAGGTAAGAGAGATTCTTTATATCGTATAACTAGTCTTAAAAATAAATTCTCTATCGTTTAGCAATTAATTAATACTTCTGATGAAAAAGAATCTGACTATCTGAATTCATCGACATTAGTTACAAATCCATTTCAAAGTGCATTGACAGAATATCTATTAAAACAAGCACCAACTCTAAGTAAGAACTCAACACTTTACTAATCATATTGCAGATGTATGTATAATTATCGTGATCATTTTTCCTTTAGATGGAAATAATGATGCAGATATCTCATTTGCTACATTGGTGATGTTGTTTTCTGAATTAATTCGTCTTAATATATTTTCATCAAAACAATTTATGTGCAGTATTGTTTCGCATGGGCTCGTATCATTAATCGATCATCAAGACGAAAATCAACAACAAAACCATCAACAACAGCAACATCATCATCATCTTCCTACTAAAACTTTTCCATTAGCTCCACCACCACCACCTTTATCTTCCTCTTTTCATCCATCTCAACCTCAATTATCACATTTTGTTCCAGCAAATAATAATTCTTTACTAGCAAAATCGATGTCATATAATTCTGTTAAAAGTGAACCGGAGGATCATAAACCAGATATTATGAGTGTACTTCAAAGACGTACATCTCAGTCGACGGTTCTTGATCTTGACCAAATGGATAACAATCATACAAATACTGGTAATCTTACATGCTAACTTTATTAGTCTAATGATTAATCATAAATATTTTTTTTAGATTATTCTACAACAAGACAAAAACCTGCAAATAGATTGAATATCAATGCAAATCCAAATAATGATTCAACACCGTCGAGTGATAATAACATATTGAAATATCGACGATATCAACTTTTTCTTGAACAATTTCCATTTCCACTTGATGATGATTTTCGAGATGATTTTAATCAACGAAAAATTATATTATATGGTATTTCATTAAAAAGGTAAAAAATCGTTTTCTCTTCATTTAAAACAATATTATTATTATTCACATCTTTATTATTTTTTTTTTTTGTTTTTTTTAGAGATGATGCTCATAAACAATTAAAAGCAAATGTTCGTCAATTAAGTTCAATGTTTCGTTTAAAAAATTGTATTGATACTTCATCGTGTGTTCCTCCTTTTACACGCTCGATACCCTATGCAAAATATTATCAAATAAAAACATCATTATTACAATTATCCTACCATGATCAATATTATATAACAAATCGTGTTAGTAAACTTTTATTAGAACGTATAACGGCCTATATTGAACGACAAACACGTCGTTTACCATGGCTAGATGATATTGCATTTTTATTTGAATTAATGGAGAAAACATTGAATTTGTATGGTCTCATTCAAACATGTGTAGAATTATTGAAAATATTTAGTCGTATTGAATCAATGCATGCTGTTAAAGCATCACCGGGCATCAGTAATTATGTAGCCGAACTCTACTTAGAAATAACAAGTGTATTTCGATTCTATACACCTATATTAATATTAACACCAGCAAATATGATACAAGTATTTGAAAAGTAAATATTATCTTTCAATTAATAAAAACAATAATGAAAAATTAATTGTTTATTTTTAGTTTAATAACAATATGTGGAAAAATTGTTGATCCACAACGTACAACATCTGTTGAACGAGCATTATTAATGTTAATGCATGATTTTTATTCTTCTTGTCCATATTTAAAGGTAATTATCAACTCAAATTTTTATTCTTATGTTTATTTTCTCGTTTTTATTTAAGTCAAAGTATAGTGAAAAAGTACAACAAACAATAACTTTAATTAAAAAAGAACTCTATGCACAAAATACACAAAATAATAAACAAGATCCACATGCAAATTTTAAATGGGATCCAAATTTTTTTATGAAAATAATCGAATCACCAAGGTAAGGGGTTTTCTTCTTCTAAACGACTTCTATTCTAATATTTAATTTTTCATTTATTTTTACAGATCAGCATCGAATGAAATTCAAATTGATCGGACATATGCTAAACAACTAGATGAAAGTTCACAAGCTCGATGTAATTTTGTTATTAATACAATAATTGCTGTTGCCAACTCATCATCATTGACATAGTATGTAGTTCTGAAAATCTTTATTTTCTAGAAACAACTGTTATTAATCTATATACAGAAGAATTGATCTCAAATGAGAATAATGCTATTGTGTAAAGCGCTAAAATTCAGGCTTTCATTTTTTTAATTCTGATGCATATTTGACGTATAATCAACGATAAGTTGAAGTTTAACAGCGAAAAATATGTTTTTTCTAAAAACTTTTCAAAAAAATTAATTGAAAATTTTTTTTATCGATGATTTTTTGTTTGAAAATAGTTTCACAAAACAGATTGATAAACACTTTATTTAATCAACTTTTTCATGTTGATGACGAGTATAAAATTTAGCCAAGGTTAACGGACTGTTTTAATACTGAAAGTTGTAGAGAAATGATTAAGATTTTGTCTCACATTTTTGAAACTGAAATTTAAAAATAGTTTTCTAGAAAACGTAGAACTCAAACAAGGAAAGAGATCGTTAAAAAATTGAAAATATCATGATTTGTCGGTACTGCTTTCGATACTATTCGATTTTTCATACTTTCTCGATTCATGTTGCCCTTAGAATGCCTTCAAACGTCAAATTGCAGAAAAATGTTTGCTTTTAAGACTGATCTATTGAAATTTTGTTTCGTCAGTTAGACAAATTTAACTGGTACAGAGAAAAGTATCGAGAACACTTTTGGTATATAAATTTTGAGCAGTGTTTTGGATAAACGAATGGTGTCGGAGAAGGTAATAACAATGTCCTATTGTTTCTGTAAATAACTTTAAAAGAATAAGAAATATGTTATGCTAACTTTTGACGTGTGATAGATCACTAGCAAATTGTTTGATTTTCTCATGGCTTCTCTCACTAGAGTACTGAACATGAACAGAAGTGTGTGTTCATTTGTTTTTAGTATTCATGATATGGGACATCTCGCCACAGAGTTAACATGTCAAGTAGCTTCGTTAAATTCTGTATGGTTATTAGCAATAAAAGCTCTTAGTTCATGTACAAATGTTAATCGTCCACCAGGTACAGCTAATATTTACAGTGTATTTGATGAATTAAACAAACGTGTCGATGTAAGTAGATCCATAGAGACATCACGTGTTTTATTAATTTTGATTTCAATCTAATTTACTCTGTTTTAGACAAATGATTTATATGTTCATAATAATTTATCCGTTTTTATATCGATAATGATTGCTCGACATGCATTTTCAATTAACGAATATATCATTGTTGCTGTTCAATCTGTTATTAGTTCATCACCAAAAAGTAAAAATTGTTTTTGTTTTTAATTGTATAAAATTAATTTATTTTTTTCATCTTTCTAGCTAATGGTGAACAAGAAAATGAGCCTGGTACACGTTTTACATGTCATGTTTTAGAACATTTATTTAGTGCTAATCATAATCCATGGCAAATGATGATTGCATCACGTGAACGACGTTTATTAGCGTCAAATTATCGTCTAATTGCATTTGGAGCATTTTTATGTGTGCTAAAATCATTACTGATATTAAATCAAGCATCATTCAAAGATAGTAAAAAATATTTGGATCTATGTAAAGATAAAGCATTGAAACATAAAGAACAAAATAAATTTGATAATAAAGATATTAATAGTCAATTTCAAAAGTATGTTTTAACATGTTTTATTAGTCTGTTGGAAGAGAAAAATACACGTTTCTTTTAAAAGATAATCTTGTATGTCAAAAAATTTGCTCTGTTTGACTCTTTTTCTCTCTACCTGAAAAACGATATGTTCGATAGTTTTCTAATCCATTAATATTGTTTTTTAGCTATTTTCGTCCATGTCGTGATCCTTATCCAGAAGAACTATCCGATATGGCATTACGTGTATTAAATTCATGTTGTGATCAAGATTGGATACAAGAACGATGTTTGAAAGAATCTGATACATTGTGTAATCAAACAAATTTATGTGATAAATTACTTGAAGAAGGACAAGCACAACAATTGTTACGTCTTATATGTTATAAATCGAATAATGAATTGAGACAACTCTCATTTGATAAAGGTACAAAAAATATTATATCATCATTATTACTCAATTTAAATCAATGGACATTACGATCAACAATATTAGAATTAAAATTGATGTTAAAACAATTAGAATATCGTGAACCAAAACAAACAGAACATAGTAATCATTTATTACAATCAATAGCAAGTGCAACTATTGAACTATTTCAACATCAGACAGAAGGAAAATATACAGTGAATAATTTAACAAATAATAATACTAGTACACCGATATTATTTGATCGAAAAGGTATTTGGTTAATAGCACCACTCATTTCACGTTTACCAAATAATGTTCAAGGAAAAATTTTACAATTAGCTGGTAAATATGTACTATTCAAATTTTTACAAAATATTATCATTTTTGTTGTTGTTGTTATTATTTCAGGAAGTGTATTAGAAAATGGTAATTCAATGTTAAATTCAACAAAATCAAAAGCTGATAAAGAAAATCAAGTATTAAGAAGTATTTCATTGTTAAGTCATCAACCATTTTTATCGTTGGTATTATCATGTTTGAAAGATCAAGATTCTCAACGTGTCGGTCTTTTGGATTCATTACGTGGACAATTAGAACAATTATATAAACAGGTTAGTGTATATATATATGTCTCGTATCACGTATGAGAAAAATGAGTGCTTTGACGTTTAACAAAAAACAAAATTTTTTAAAACAAAAATCACAGAACAGTTATGTGTCTCATTCTACTTTTTACTAAGTAGTAAAGAACACCAAACTATTATAGGAATGTGAACATTGTATATCGGTCACAAAATCATCATCCAATAGAATTGGTACTGCATTTCCCGATTGTCGATGTAACTGTCATAAAACCGATTGGCAAATGTTTTCTAATAATCTGGTAAAACAGATAGATATACATGGCCAACTTTTATATTTATGCTCGTTAGATAAACAAAAAAGCAATTCTATCTACTTGCTTCTGCTTTCTTTCAATTAATGCTTTATGGCAAAGATATATATATACATATTTATTATACCTATCTTATACACACACACACACATTTATACACACACACTCACGTATATAAAGCTTGCACGCTTATTATATTTCACGTTTCATATTTATTGACGGTTGCTTGTAATTATTATAGCATGAGAACATACTTATTTAACTTGATAAGAACTATTGTAGACAATGGAATGTGGAAAACTACTTTCTTCGGATGGGATAATAAATTGTTTTGTTTTTTTTTGCTTATTGCTCTGTATATGTATGCTTGTTTGTATATCGCTCGGGAAATAAATTGAAAATGACTTCTATATCTTATACATCTACCATTTTATGTATGAAAATAACAATTTTTATTTCAGGCTCCAATTGTACAAGATGATCCGAATATGAAAGCAATTATATTTGAATCATTACAACTTCGACTGAGTTTAATTGGTGGAATGTTTGAAACCATTGTTGTATGTATCTATTTTATCTAATGAATTAGCTCTGTTGAGTCCGTACCACATTTATATCAAATTTTGCTTTACCAATTCTAGGACTAGCTAAGTTTCTGTGACCAAAGTTATAGCGAACAGTTGAATTTTCGTGGGAGATATAGGGAAGAGATAATAGTTTTACGTAATATGTTTGAGAAACTTCGAATATAATACAGATTTTTTTAACAATTGTTTTTTTATGTATTTTACAAATATTGTAGAACTATCAAAGTAAACCTAAATAGTGTATAACTCTTTATATAGATTTTATTGGATGATGTAAGAAATATTTCGAGTGGTTTTCATTCTGAATATTGATAGGATTCTCCTGCATTTTTTATCAATTTTAGTCTATTTTTTCTCAAAAAATTCGCATTCTTAAAACTTCTCATATATTTTTTCGATATCTATACCGCTTCCACTGCGAAAACACAAAAAATTTGTTTTATTGAATGACTCTGAAAATCAGCCCATATCAGTGTGTATAAACAGTGGTGCGGATTCTATGGTCTCATTACAATACTGTCCTGCTTTATGACTCTCTTGTTTACATCCAATTTTTCTTAAACTTTTCTAGCGTAATCATAATTCATCGAGCGAATGGATATCGGTTTTATCACAATTAATTGCATCCGGTGTAATTGATACGAAAAATAATGAAAAATTACTCAACACCGTTTTGGACATGCTTGGTGTTCTCATTCATAGTCTGATCCCAGCCGAAGGATCCATCGAATCAAGTCGTGTTTATATCAATTTAGTACGAAAAGTACGGAAAGATCTTGGGGAACGAACATCGGAGGCATTAGATGAAGTAAGTTACGCAACAACACAGAAGAAAAAAAAATTAAAAATCGAATGATTTTTGTAGGTAAAGAGATTCTTACCGTTACAGAAGACTTCATTTGAAGTATATGTTGTTGAACCATTCGATGCTGTGAGCAACCGTCTAGTGAATCAAGAAATGAAAAAACATGGTTTACAAGTGGCTCGGAAGGTATGTTAACATATTTCTCATTTGTTTCATCTTTTTACTGTTTTGTTACTTTTTAAGGAGAAAGTTATTAGTTGGGAAGCAATTGAAGGTGTCAAAACACCAACAGCCATTTGCTATTCGTGGTTTTGTGCAAGAAAAACAGAACGAAAACGATTACGTTATGAAGAACAATATCGTCTACTATTGAGACATAAGCATATATGTTTTGACCGTGCATTAGGGTATTTTAAGGTAAGTAACATATTTGTTTGGATAATAAAAATGAACATGAGGTAAAGATTGGAATTGTTTTAGAATCCACCTGACGTTCCAGCTGAAACATTTGAAAATGATTTGGAGATTGTTGAAAACAAACAAGTGACGATTGATATAACACAAAAATATCATCAACAGCAGCAGCAGCAACAACAACAACAACTGCAAGGTCGTCAAACATCGGTGGACGTGAAAAAACGTGGGGGTGCAGCTGGTACGGGAACAACTCGAAAAAACTCTCGATCACGTACTGCACGTGCACCATCTGTTATTCCGCAAAATCCGCCTTATCCATCGGCTCCAACGCCTACTGTGGGTGCTGGTTATCGCAATCCACAAGAACCATACGCTTGGTACAATGGTCAACCACCAAATATGATGACAATGCAACCAGGACAACCAAATATTGTACCAACCTACGGACAATCAACGATGCCTCCAAAAACAGTTATGCCATCATCTCGAATGGCCATGAATCGTCCACCCTATGTACAACCAACAATGAATGAACAACAAATGAATCCAATTTTAATGCCACCAGTAGCCAGACAAATATCATCAAAAAGAAAACTTGATCAATCGTCAATGTTTACTAATGAAGCTTATGGTACACCACCAAAGATGCAAATGTCATCGGGTAAACTATTGAGAGAAAAAAGTAATGAGATTCATTCAACTTAGAATTTAATTAATATGCTTTTCATACAGGAGCTGGGCAACATCAAAATCCAATGATGGTACCAGAACGTACCATGATGCAAGGGAATTATAATCCAAAAATGTACGCTCAAGCAGCACAAATGCCCAGTAATCAATATATTAATCAACAAATGGTTTCCAATCAAACAAAGTAATTTTCGCTTTTGATCTACTTTCTACTACTATCTAATTTCTCTACTCAGCTTGAAGTGTACGTTATAACATATATGCGGTTAATCATCCGCCACTTAGAGAGGAAAGATACACGAGCATTTTTTGACGAGTCTTTCTAGTACAAATTTCTAAATTATAATTTAGTATGATGCCTCAAGGTTACAATACAAATACTATGATGCAACAACAACAACAAAATCCATATGGTAGAGCTACAATGCAACAAAGTGGCAATGTCCCTGTTGGTTCATCCATGAACAATCAAATGATGGGTGGCGGTCAAGTATGGCAAAATCAAGTTCAAAATCAAGTTCAACAACAGCAAACAGTTGTTGCGAATGCCGCAACGGCTGCAATATATTCACGTCAACAAACTTATCCAAATAATATGCAGCAAAATCAAATGGGTAGTGTACAAATTGCGCAAGTAAGTCAGTTTAACTTTAATTTAAACGAAGTACTATACTAATCCATTTATTTTTTTCTTCATTAGCAACAACAACAGCAGCAGGCCGCACAAAATCAACAAGCTCAACAGCAATACTATCGGACAACAAATACTTTTCCTAATTAGTTTCTTTTGTAATAAGAATTTCAAAATGTCAGATGTTTTGTTTTCTCTATTTTGTTGCAGATGTTAATGGGGTTTCTTTTTTTGTAATTCCATCTGCGCTTTTTCTTACGAAAGAGAATATCAGCAACTAATGTATATCACAAGTTGAAGATATTTTTTATAATTATTAATTTTTTTTAGATTTTGTTTTTCTTTTATTAACTTGTACAATTTGTTCAAAACAATCTATTCTATATTGACATTGCACTTAATTGAGATAAAATAAGACTTAATGTCAACATTGCATAAGTAGAGGCAGACTAAATTAAATGGAGAAAATTGATGAATTCTCCTGCTATTATGATAACTGTTCACGTTTATGAAAGGAGAAGAACACAACTTCCCTTCAAAGGCACGAATTTTAGTTTTATTATTAGTACATATAAATTTTTTAAACCTTAAAAGTACAACTGATCCAACATTTCGAAGACTGACAGAGAGCATCTACCTAAATTATTTCAATGTGGGTTAGAGAAGTCCTTCTAGTAGTCCATATGAATATTTCCATCGTATAATCTAATGTCTATTCTTTTGTCCAGCAAAAAAACAATTACATAATAAAAATAACAACTAGTTGAACACACATTATCGCTGGGATTACAGAGATAGCACTAGCGGTTCTTTAGTCTCAAGTTTTAAAAACAGGTTTGTATCCATTGTTGGTATGTTGCTGTGCGAATTTAGTAATATCTTTCAGGTCACTAGAATATTTTTGTTTTAAAACACAGATATTATCAGCAAAAGCAGTTAATATCACTTTTTTTGCGTGAGAATGACCTGGAGTGGCATTTAAACTAAATATTTGACTTCACTAAGACATAGTCATCTTTTCCCAGTCTGTTAATTTGGCCAAAATTTTTTTGAAAAGAGTATTATACGATAAAACTAAATAAAAATTCTATTAGCCATCTTTTTTCTCTTTTTTTCACTAGAGAGATAGCACCATACCTAAAAAACGCACTCATGAAAAAATCGAGGGATGTTTACACACTTTTTAAATTCTTTTTAAGCGAACAAACAAGGATGTCTATTTTACTGTATGCCTTCCACGCACTCTTTATTTACGTCTATTCTGTGCTTGTCTACACAGGATTTGACAAATATTATCCATGAAACATCTGTCCAGTAAACCGGTAATGAACATATTTTTACAATTAAACTGCTGTGTATCTTATCTATACGACAAAAATGAGAGATTTCAAAAGAGTTATTTTCTCCGTTGTAGGTGAGAACACTATGCCTTTCAATACTATAACTCAGCGACAAAACGAATTGTACAGTGAGTAGACATCGTCCACCTGATGTTTTTCATCCATTTAAAATTTAGGATCTGTTGGTATACAATATGTGCTTGTTTTATCAACTCGATCAGATAGCGATAGTTTTCATCTTTTTTAGTCAACCTTCATGTATATTGAATTATTAAATTTATTCACAAGGAGTGATGTTCTTGAAATCCTTTGAAGTACAATGAAAATTTGATCTTTCTACTCAGCCTATTGAGTTTTTCCGTATTTGTCATGGAGCTATTCACTTTTACATTTTGTAATAAAATACTGAATAAACTTTCTGAAGCGATTCAGAACATATCATAAACTATTGGATCTTGTAGGAGGTACAAAAGTTATGAGAAAAATGAGAAGAGGACACTTAAAGTATGAAGAAAATTTCTTTTGCACTATCTGTTATCGTACTTCTCGTCTTTTTAATTTGTTGATTAAAAAGAAAAGAATAGATGAGAGTATAATCAATTAATACGTACAGTACATTTACTACAGAGTTAACACTGTCTGAACAAAACAGGAGCTGTTTAATGGCTGATTCGTAATAAAAATCAGTAAAATCAGTGAAAAAGATTATTAAAACTTGTTTAGTTGCTTTATTGAATTTCAAGTACGACATTTGTTCAAGCTCAATGTATCTAAGTAATAGATGATATTATAAGGAGAAAGATTTTTCTTAACGATCATCAAAAAACGGGCGACTCCGATTCCGACATAGATTAACTGTACAAATACTCGCTTTGTTAGACTACCCACTGAAAAAAATAATCAAAATTCATGCAGGATCCCGCAGGACTTTGCGCAGGATCCCGCGGGTTATCAGTATTAAAATATCTGGCGATGTTTCTTACCTTTACGCAGGATTTTTATACTGTC